ACCCTAAACCCTAAACCCTAAACCCTAAACCCTAAACCCTAAACCCTAAACCCTAAATTTGTAATCATGAAGCTTCAAGCAGGACCTGGGTCGAGAACTTTTGGACGCCGCACCCACAATCGACTCCGGCTTGCACCCGGGAGATCATCGACTTCAGTGAAGAGAAGGACGGCAAGAAGGGACCCCTAACCTCGTAACATAGCCCCCCCAAAGAGTAGGATCCCCTAATACACGAATATTGCAAACCCCAAAGAGTGGGATCCCCTTATAAGGACCCCAATAAGGTACCCCTAAAATTGCAAACTCCAAAGAGTAGGATCCCCTTGTAAGGACCCCAATAAGGTATCCCCTAATATCGTAACCCCCCCACTTCAGTGAAGAGAAGGATTGAATCCTACATACCTTTGCTTTGGGGAGTGCAAGGTCGGGCATCTAATCCCCTGCCCCTAATATTAACCCCCCCCCCTACTCTGTGGGGGGTATTTAATATTAGCGGGGTAGGGGGTGTTTAATATTAGGGGGAGGGCATCTATGGCTGGCCCCGAGGACAAGCCTGAAAGGGCTTATGGTTCATAAAATCTCATAGGGATTGTCGTAGTACAGGGTATTATGGCCCCAATTTTGCGAGCTTCACTTGGGGACCCAAATAAGATCCTTCCTTCAACCGCCAGCCCCTGGCCGCCAAATGCTTCATTGACAAGCTTTGCTCGCAGGATGGAGATCAAAGCGACTGCTTTCCCGTGCAGATCCTTGGACGCACGTACAAAACCCTGTTTAGGGTTCAGGGCTTAAGCTTGTGGGTTTTCGGGTTTGGGGCTTAACCGCTCTGGGGATTCCTGTCTCCTTGTTGTGGGATGCTGGGCTTTGGGTCCAGCTCCCTCGCATACTATAGTATGCTATAGTACAGAACAATGTGAAAGGTGATGATGAACGGTAGTATGCTACGAATATGCTCCAGTAGATTAAAGCAGACAACCCTGAACCCTGAACCCTAAACCCTAAACCCTAAACGCTAATCCCTAAACCCTAAACCCTAAACCCTAAACCCTAAACCCTAAACCCCAAACCCTAAACCCTAAACCCTAAGCCCTAAAGTTGACCACAAGTCCTCTCTCATTTTTCATGCCAAAGGTCGTGCCCTGCCACCATCGATTGCACGAGTGCCGCTTGGACTTTGGAGAGCTCTGGTTTAGGGTCTAGGGTCTAGGGTTTCTGGTTTATAGAGTTTTGCTAGTGTTATGACTATCCTGCATTCTGCTAAACTATCAGCCATGAATTTTCAAGTCTATATGCAAACCCGGCCAGTCGGAGATTTCAAAACATGTAAGCTGGGGCACAGCGCTACGTAGCCTTCAAAAGCTCCAGTGCGTAACAGTGCGAAGCCCGAGGCAGTAAGACATCTCGAATGAACCAAGGAAACAGGGGCAGCTTTGAACATACTTTTGAATAACTTTTTTAGTACCCGTAATCCCCAGTATGATCCCAAAACCCCAAACCCTAAACCCCAAACCCTTGTAAAGCAATATAAAATTGATTTTTGTAGGGCTCCCCAAAAAAATGCCAAGGAAACCGGTCCCACCTGTGCGACCGTTGCTTCCGGCACACCTCCTGCTGACAGTGGCGACATGGCAACCCGGCGCTGTTTGCTGGGTCTGCGGGGTTTAGGGGTTAGGGTTCAGGGTTTAGGGGTTAGGGTTTGGGGTTTAGGGTTTAGGGGTTTAGGGTTTGGGGTTTAGGGTTTAGGGTTTAGGGTTAAGGGCTGTCCAGGAGTGTGTCTTGGTTTGTGGGGATGTAGGGGATATGCGTTGTTTCTGGACCTCAAGCCCTACCCTAAACCCTAAACCCTTGTGAAAACCCTAAACCCTAAACCCCGAAGGGACCGAGCAGCTTAGTTCTTCAGTTTGACGCAACACGAAACTTCAAGGGAGTCATGCTCGGACCAGTTTCTCAGTATCCCTAAACCCTAAACCCTAAACCCGAAACCCTAAACCCTAAGCCCCAAGCGAGAAACCCTAAACCCTAAACCCCAAACTCACGAAGGTGTGCGGCGGGCTGGGCTGCCCAATGGCCCGCTACCTCTGGTCGGTTGAAGCGGAGAAGATGCACAAAGAGCAACTAGCTCCCACAAGGGCCAGGGTACTTAGGTTCGTGTTTAGGGGTCTGGGATTTAGGGTTTAGGGTTTAGGATTAGGCTTTACGGTATACCCTAAACCCTATACCCTAAACCCTTAAACCCTTAAACTCATTCAGCTCCCAAAAGGATGGCGATCTCCTTCACCTGCGACCCGAAGCTGGGCTTCGTCCACGGCATGATCCCGCCACCCGGGTGAACGAAGCTACCTCAGGGCCCTATGTGTGGGGTTTAGGTTTAGGGTTTAGGGTTTAGGGTTTAGGGTTTAGGGTTTAGGGTTTAGGGTTTAGGGTTAGGGTTTAGGGTGGTAGGGTTCAGGATTCCGGGTTCAGGGTTCAGGTTCAGGGTTCACGGTTAAGGGTTTCAGGGTTTGGTGTTTAGGGTTTAATGTTAACGTCGCTTTAATAAACCCCCCCCCCCCCCCCCAAATCTTGTTTTGGTCCGCGGGGTTTGGACGGGTCAAAAAAAAAAAGGTGTCAATAATGAGGATTCTGGGGTCTGGGGTCTGCGGCCTGGGGGTCTAAAGGTTTTAAGTAAGGAAACCTGGCTTTGAGATCTCTGGCGGCTTCGTGAATTCCAGGACCCGAAGGCTGAAGTCTTAAGCTTCAGGGATTCTTGCCTTGAGACTTGGACCAGGACCCGAAGCCTGAAGTCTTGAGCTTAAGGGTTCTTGTCTTGAGACTTAAAGGCAGCCATTTAAACTTGAGGCTTCCTTGGTTCCCCCCCCCCTCGCCGAAATTATTATTGCCACCCATTTACTATTGTCATTTTGGAGGCCCATAAGGGGTACCCTTTCCGGACTTGTTTTCGAGCCCCGGCGGATAAGGATTTTAGTAAAGAAACCTTGCTTTCAGACCTCTGGCGGTTTCCTGAATTCCAAGACCCGAAGGCTGAAGTCTTCAGCTTCAGGGACTCTTATCTGAAGCCTTAGAGGAAGACCTGCTCCTCTGAAGAAAGAGGCCTGAAGCAGCAGTTTCTCGCAGCTCTGGAGCTGCAGCAATCTCAAGAGGCACCTGCTTCTCTGAAGAAACAGGCCTGAAGCAGCAGTTTATCGCAGCTCTGGAGCTGCAGCAATCTCAAGAGGCACCTGCTTCTCTGAAGAAACAGGCCTGAAGCAGCAGTTTCTCGCAGTTCTGGAGCTGCAGCAATCTCACAATACAAGCAATCTCAAACGAGATCTGCTTCTCTAGAGCCTCGGAGCTCGAAGAGTCTTCTCTGCAAGTAAAATTTCTGATTCCTGGCCGGCCAAATATTACTGTTGTCACCCCATTATTATTTTCACCGGACCCCCCTATATAGACTTGTTTACACACATCGGCCCGAAAACCTCCCGTAATGGAAAGTAGTCTTCGGCTGAGCCCCTCTGGCCCGGCGAATATTACAGTTGCCACCCCATTTATAGATGTGAGGTTAACATTAGGGTTTAAGGTTTAGGTCCTGCAGCAAGGGTTTTGGTGCATTTGAGGGCTGAGGCGCCTTGGGGCAGCAGTTGCTGTGGGTGCAAGTGCCGGCACTTTTCCTGCCCACAAGGGCAACCCAACAAGATCATTTGCGGCGTGCTGCAGATGCGATGTAGGAGATAGATAGATAGATAGATAGGTATATATATATATAGTAGAGTGACAGGCGGGAGCTTACAGTGGAAACAACTCTCGCCTAGCAGCACTGCATGCATCAATGGGATCCAGAGCTGGACCATCGGTGATTGTCGCTAAGTTATTCAGTTACTCCTGGTCCCCCTCGCCCTCCTCCTCCTCCTCCTCGTCTTCTTCCTCCTCCTCCTCCACATCATCTTTCATCCATTCTCACGTAATCATCACCGTCATTAATACTACTACTCCATGACTGCATCTGCTGTGCCCAGGCATCACATTGGAGCTGTGAGGATGTGCGAGGCCTTCGGGGTGTCTGTTGCTGTTGCTGTTTGCCGCTAGTGCTGCTGTACTGCTACGGGGGAAGCTTGAATCAAGCCCCTTCCGTAGAAGCCTGAAAAGCGCAGCGTTTTCCTGTGCGCTAGGCCTTTCAGCTGGCAGAAGGAACATGCGCCAGTTTCAGTCGTCCGAAGGACGTAGATCCAGCCTGTGCCACTAGCACGAGCACGAAAGTAAGGGATAGTGACCTGGAGCATGCTCAGGTATACTTTTCATGAGATGTAAAGTTGGCTACATTATATAAATAAATAAATGAATCTATATATATATATATATATACATTGCGCGCGGAAACAGGGACTGCGCACCGATAAACCCGCTAAACCCGTGGCGCACCGATAAACCCGCTAAACCCGTGGCGCACCGATAAACCCGATAAACCCGCTAAACCCGTGGCGCACCGATAAACCTGCTAAACCCGCTAAACCCGTGGCGCACCGATAAACCCGCTAAACCCGTGGCGCACCGATAAACCCGCTAAACCCGATAAACCCGCTAAACCCGCTAAACCCGTGGCGCACCGATAAACCCGCTCCCCGCTAAACTCGTGGCGCACCGATAAACCCGCTAAACCCGTGGCGCACCGATAAACCCGCTAAACCCGACAAACCCGTGGCGCACCGATAAACCTACTAAACCCGACAAACCCGTGGCGCACCGACAAACCCACAAAACCCGACAAACCCGTGGCGCACCGACAAACCTGCCAGGCCCCACAAACCCGCGGCGCACCGATAAACCCGCAATACGTTCGCTAAACCCGATAAACCCGTGGCGCACTGCTAAACCCGTGCCAAGAAACCTGCTGGCGCACCGACCGATAAACCCGATCCTCAACTACGTCCCTTCCTGACGGTCGCTGCCGCTGCCGGGCCCGATCAGCGTGACCCAACCTGCACCCCTCAAGATCGCGTCATCATGCGTCATCGGCCCAAAGCCCCCATGATCCCCCATGAGTGTAACCAACCTGCACGCCTGAGACTCGCATCGTCGCGGAACATAGGTATGCAGACTTATGCGCAAATCAAAGATAGCTACGATGACGCAAAGAGGCCAACGCCTAAGAATGAACAAGAAGCCACAGCCTCCTACGAAAGTTCACATACCCAAACCACCGCCCTAAAACAAAATTGGCCCGGGCCTATTCCGGAAACCCGTAAATGTAGGTCCGGACCCATTTTCTCGAAGGGGTCCCCCCCGCACCACACCTCCCACAGCCCCTAACAGGGGGGGAATTATGCACTTGTTTTGCTCAGTGGTGCATCGTCGCTTGCTAGCTGCGGTTGTTTTGCTTCTTGGTGCATCTTCGCTTGCTATCTGCGGTTGTTTGGCTTATTGGTGCGTCTGCGATTACTACGTGCGGTTGTTTTGCTTATTGGTGCGTCTTCGCGTACTGCGCGCGCTTGTTTTGCTTATTGGTGCATGTGTCTTCGCTTACTCCGTGCGGTTGATTTGCTTATTGTTGCATGGGTCCTCGCTTACTACGTGCGGTTGTTTGACTTATCGGTGCGTCTGCGCTCTATGTGCGCTTGTTTTGTTTATATTGGTGCCTCTTCCCTTACTATGTGCGTTTGCTTTGCTTCTTGCTGCGTCTTCACTATATGTGCGCTTGTTTTGCTAATTGGTGCGTCTTCGCTTACTACCTGCGGTTGTTCTGCTTGTTGGTGCGTCTTCAACATTGCATCACTCGTTGCGTTTCAACACTTTACATGCCGCTGTCGAAGAGTACTGATCTCACAGTCGCGCCCCAGTCAGCAAACCAATCTGAGAATGGATGCATCTCTTTCTTGCGACGCTTGCCGGGAGTCATCCTTATCATTGGCACCCTGGATGAAAAACAAGCACTCAAGTTCGAATAGATTGTTGGCTGCTGCTGCCCGGTGTTTCTGGGAGGAAGAATGGCCGCCAGCGCCCTCGTAAGCAAAACAACTGTCAGCACTCCCCAATAGGCGCAGAAAACCTCCCGAACCCTGAACACACTTTCTGTCGTCAAGCCCTAAACCTATATAAACCCTGAACCCTGTAATCCCTATACCTCAAATGCTGAGGAGCAAAGCAATTCTTTGCCCTTAGACGTCAGATGCTCTGCCTCTGAGCTAATCTCCTCCCAAACCGAAAATGTTCACGCTGTACCGAAGTGCTTCATGCCGATCTGTGGAAGACTGCAGCGACGATAGCCAGGTGGCGTCAGCCATGCCGGCTGAGTGGAGACCCCTTCCTCCCCCCCAAAAAAGTAGCCGATGCCTTGTCCCTGATGCTCCATGTATAGTTACCGAAAACCCGCGCGTCCTCAGACCCGATAAGCCCGCCGCCGAGAACCCGCGCACCCATGCACCCGATATCCCCTAAACCCAACAATTTATGCGTGCTGCGAATTGACGACCCCATGTCCGCTTAACCCGAAACGTGTCTTGCCGTGAATATATTTAATCATCTGAGCCTTAATCAGCGCAAAGCAGCACAATTCAGCGCAAATCAGTGCAATTCGGCGCCGTCCAGCGCATGCAGCGCATTGCGGCGCACTCCAGGAAACACAGCGCATTCGGGGCAAATCGGCGCATTCAGCGCAATTCGGCTCATTCAGCGCAATTCGGCGCAATGCAGCGCAATTCGGAACAATGCAGCGCAATTCGACGCAATGCAGCGCAATTGGGCGCAATGCAGCGCGTTTGGCGTGATTCAGCGCAATTCGACGCATTCAGCGCAATTCGCATAATGCAGCGCAGTGCAGTGCATCCGGCGTAATTCGGCGCATTCAGCACAATTCGGCGCAATGCAGCGCAGTGCAGTGCATCCGGCGTAATTCGGCGCATTCAGCGCAATTCGGCGCAATGCAGCGCAGTGCAGTGCATCCGGCGTAATTCGGCGCATTCACAGCGCAATTCGGCGCAATGCAGCGCAGTGCAGCGCATCCGGCGTATTTCAGCGCAATGCGGCGCAGTGCGGCGCAAAGCGGCGCAGAGGACGCCACCTCGAATCCAGTCCCGGAGCCCGCACACACTGTATATATATATATACATATGTATATATCAATCATGTACTCCGCTAGAGAATGCTGTGAAATCTTCTCCGCATCCGCTCCTGCAGGTGCTGCTCCAGAACTTGACCTGCCCCGACTTGCAGGCGGAGGACTCCTCATGCAGGGCTCTTTTTGGGGGGTGGAGTTTCTTAGGAAAGCACGCTACCCTACAGGGATCGTTAGGAAAGCACCCCAGAACCTCAGTATGCTCTATAGAGTAGACTGTTCATGCGACAGAATGATTGTTTAGACGGCGCTTGTCGCGATTCTCAAGCTCGCTTCTTTCCATGTCGGTCATGGAGCCAAGAGCTTCCGTGTTCATACGACTATTATGACATCACATCACCGTATTATCATATTATCACATTATCACATTCTCAGTTCATCATATTATCCTATTCTCATATTCTCATTTTCTCACATTATCATCTTTTCATTGTCTGTTGCATCTGCAGCCCCCTTATGACTCAGACTGCCGGCCATGATGAATGCAGCAGTAGGGACCAAGGCTCCCCAGAATTTTAGACTTCTCCAGTTGGTCGTGCGCTCTTTACCCTACAGTACACTATACTATAAACTATACAGTTATGTGGTGGACTAGCAGTAAGTATGCTACTACTTGTGGACCAACAGGAATCTGAGGGGGCTTGTATTCATCCTAGCAGGATGAGAAGCCCTCTGTTTGAAATTGCCTTTGAACGCCTTTTGCGTCTTTCCGGTCTTCAAACTGTAATGCCCTACACCCTAAACCCTCAACCCACAACTCTCAAACCTAAACCCTAAACCCTAAGCTCTAAAGCCTAAACCCTAAGCCCTTAACACTAAACCCTAAACCGCCGTCCCAGGAGGTCGCTGCAGCGGAGCACCTCTGTGCTCACGTCATGATCGAGCAAGAGAGGGCCAGCTGGCTCTGTTGTGGGGAAAGGCTTTAGGACTTTTCAAGGGGCTTAATGCGGGGTTGAGGGTTGAGGGTTTAGGGCGTAAACTACACGAGGTGAGTAGTCGCATGTTCTAGTAGGTTATGCCGCAGTAGAGTCCAGATCTTTTTGGAGAGTTGGCTGCGGTTGTGGCAGCCTGGGTGGTTAGGGCTTAGGCAGTTTATGGTTTTTGTGGCCCTTACACACTCGTTGGCCAGATCTTCCAAAGTCCCAACATGTGGTGTGGAGTTCTACCATTTGCCTCACCTTGTCCCTGAACTGAAGCCCCGTCAGCTGTGCTTCAAAATCCAGTGCCCTGAAGCCGATATCCTAAGCCCGTTACCCAACATGCTCCGTACTGTTGACTATTGCACCTTGGGATGTTCCCCCCTTTTTCAAACAGTCCTTCATAGGCATTATAGTACTCCCTATGATCATCCCTGTTAAGGCCTGTTAGTATAAGGGGGGACATCCCACAATGCACCCATCTTTTGGCAAGGAAGTGGGTGGCATGCGGGAGTGGCTGGCCAACCACTCGATGCCCGGCATGATATAATCGGGGTTTCTCAAGTTTTTGGGTTTAGGGTTTACTGGCTGGTTCTCCTATACAATCCCTTAAAGGGTATATATATATATACAGGGCCCGAATTCCCTCATTTCCTACTAAGAACCAGCAGGTTTAAGGTTTTTCGTCCCCTGCCATACCCTGAAAGCAACAGTTCTCCCGACACTAAGGAAACCCGACGCCGTGCTCTGCGACCAGACGGGCAGCGCGCCGCATCTTAAAATCACTTTAGGCATGGCAAACAAGGGTATACTGTAGCAAACTACAGTAGGCAAGAGCATCCTGGACCTTACTGGTACATTACTGGTAGGCAAGAGTATGCTTTACGAACAAAACTCATGTGCTGGAGTGTTTTTGTAGTATGGTAGTACACTGATGACAGGCGTGGGGGTAGGGAAGCAAAGCTTCACTAAACCCTAAACCCCCAGATCCTAAATCCCTTCAATTTCATCCCGAAGCCTCCTGCCCCTCCTAAGCCCTAAACCCTAAACCCTAAGCCCTAAAACCCTAAACCCAAACTTGCAATCAAATGCCCAGGAGATGGTCATGGGCTGCGGGGACATGTCCTGCCAGTCTTCGAAGGACATCAGAAGCTAGAGATGGGCTTCCTGATCCAGAAAAAGCTGTCCCTCCCCCAAAAAAAAAGAACGAGAAACGTGGTAGGCTTTAGGGTTGACTGCAACAATCCAAGCTGCTGTCCATTCTTGTGACCTGTAGCCCAGAGGGCAAGCAGCCTGAGACATTGTACTGCTCCAACCCGCCTTTCAGTTTTGTTTTGCAAGAACTCACAGGACTTCATGGCTGCAAACCATGAGATGCACATGGCCATGTGCCTTGGACGAGCTCCTTCCGCCCAGAAATCTCATCATCTGGGAACAGCGTTTAGTCTGGGAATGAGTGCTTGAACTTCAGAGTTGTACATGGGTATCCCCAAATTAGAGTACCTGCACGAATCTGCTGGTTTACAGTCTTTATTATACTCGTAACTTCCAGGGGACCTAAGAATTAGGTTGCTTGAGGCCCGTTTGACCCAAGATAGGCGTCCCAAACTGCAGAGTATTTGCGATTCCATGTACTAGTTCCAACAACTCGCAGAGCACCCTTTCAACATGTTTAAGGTTTAGGGTTTAGGGTTTAGGGTTAGGGTTCCAGATCCCTGTAGTGAGGGGCTTGACAGCATAGATGGCCAATAAAGTGTGACGACCCACTTAGGTACCATTCCTACCTAAGCCCTAAAGACTAGGCCTAAACCCTAAACCGTAACCCTAAACTGCATCTTCACGTCTTTTCCGTACACCCGCGCCATTTGTGAAAGACCAGGCGAGTTCATGGCGTAGCTGCCCCTTCCCTCCTGCTGGTCAGCAGTGGATAGTTTAGGGTTGAGGGTTTAGGGTTTAGGGTTTAGGGATTGGGGGTTAGGGTTTAGGGTCTAGGGTTTTAGGGATTGGGGGTTTAGGGGTTAGATTTTTAGGGGCTGCAGTCGGGGGGGCAAGGCCACGTAGTTTTAATTGAGGAGGTCCAGCACCAGTTTAATCGTAAGCCCTAAGCCCCAAGCCCCAAGCCCCAAGCCCCAAGCCCCAAGCCCTAAACCCTAAACCCTAAACCCTAAACCCTAAACCCTAAACCCTAAACCCTAAACCCTAAACCCTAAACCCTAAACCCTAAACCCTAAACCCCAAACCTTCCCCCGAACCCTACCCCCCGAAGAAAATGCGAACTATGCCCAGGATGGTGGACATCACCTGTGAGCACAGCGTCGACTTCATGCGCGGCATGATTCCCCACCATGCAGGAGCTATTCTCATGTGCCAGGTGCTCCTTCCGCATAAACCCTACTGGTTCTTAGTAGGGAATCAGGCAAGTAGGCACCTCACGTCTCCCTGCATATACATATACCCTTTAAGAGATTATATAGGGTGCCTAACTTTCTTCATTCCGTACTAAGACTAAGATCCAGGGTTGAACAAAAAATGTAGTAGCTCAGCCGTGGTGGTTGTAGTAACTAGTAGTGGTAGTGGCAGTGGGTGGCGGTGGTGGTGGCAATGGTAGAATCAGGGTGCTTCTTGGAACCCTTAAGGTGCTCTTCTTTCGGTTGGCATCATTGCTGCTATTAGTAGTGGTGGCTTTCGTCATGGGTTTTAGGGTTTAGGGTCTAGGGGTTAGGGTTTACCATTCGTAGTTGTGGGATTCTTGTCATACGGCAGTCATTGGGTCGGAAGATTGGGCCATGGAAGCCCATACTGTTTGGTTGCATGTCCCGGCTTGCGATGCCTGAGCCGTCGAACCGGCGAGCCCAAAACTTTTCCTGCAGCTGGTAAACCCTAAGCCCTAAGCCCTAAACCCTAAACCCTAAACCATTTTCAAGAGAAGCTTAAAGTAGGGTGCCCCCCCCCCCCCCCCCCCCCTCCCCCCTCCCAAATTAAGGAGCACTACTCTCTCAAAACCAAACCTTACACCTGCCGCTTGAACCCAAAAACCTACAAACCTTAAACCTACGGTTCTGCTTCCATACCCTAAACCCTTAACCCTTAACCCTTAAACCCCAAACCCTAAAAGCTTCAGGTGTTGGCCAATGCCACTGCTGGCGATCCCGACCCGTTTCTGGAGGTTCGTGGCCTCGAGATTGAGGGTGTAGGGTTCAGGTTTTAGGTGTTCGGATTCCTGTGCGGAGTTCATGCTTACGATTTAGGTTCTATGCTTAGGGTTTCATCTTGCTGGTAGCTGAGTGGTAGCTAGTACCCCTTGTGCCCCTTTGTTTTGGGGGTTCTGGGCTCCCTACAGCCCAAAAGGGTGTCGGGCAGTCAGGGTTTCAGGGGCACTTTATACACCCTCCTTCTGCGACTTTTTTGGGGTTTGGGGTTGAGGTTTAGGGTTGTTAGGAATCTGTTCTGATGATTCCTTGGGCTAGCAAGTGCGATGAGACCACGGAGGAGTTAAGAAGGCTCTGTGGAGTTTGTATGCACCTGGCCTTTGGCGATAAGCCATTGCAGCGTTGTCGCGGTTGGTGATCTATGATATGGGGGCTTACGATATTGAGGGACCCGAACATAGACCCCAAAGAGTAAGAAGCACCCCAATAAGGTACCCCTAATTTCGTAAACCCCCCCCCCCCCCACCACCATATTTCATTAGAAAGATAGCCGTCTCTGCCATGCCTTAAGGGGGCTGAGAACTTGCTGGTGCCGGCAACCTGCTCGGGTGGTTTAGGGGCTTAGGGTTTAGGGTTTGGGGTTTTTGCAGCTGCATGGTCCCTTTCAGGAATAAAGCAGTCCCCTTGTAGTTCAGAAAATTGGTGCGCAAGTTTCCTAGGCATAAGCATCCCCGCGCCACCCGTGCTAGCCCAAAAAGACCAAATCTTGGGACCGATTTTGACCTGCATTGGGACTGATGCACTCACCCACACAGATTTGAAGATCATGCAAAGCCCCCCTCCCCCCCCCCACAAGCAGCACGACCATGCAAGAGGAGCTCTGCGCAAACATCACCGCTGCCTCTCGGATGCGACAGTACTCTTTGTAACCGTGTACTGCATTATATCGACTAGATCAGTCCATGTTGTGCTTTGAACCTGGACCTCCCTCGTGGTTGACGTCTTAGACTTGGTCTGCAGATGATGCTAAGCCGCTTTGGAGTGTTGCCTTGGAGATCCCGCCAGAGCCACGCATCATTCTGAAACACGAAGGATATACGCTCCTGTGGCAATGCATATAGGGCGAGAGAGCGCGAGAGCGAGAGAGCGAGAGAGAGCGACCAGCTTCGCTTCTAGGTCTGAGGCTATCGTGCTGTAGTATTCTTCAGAATGCCGTACCAGTAGACAACAGAGGAAGGGCTGATTCTCGGATGCCAGGGGCCAAAAGAAGCTTTCTGGTTCTTTGGTAGGGAATGAGGGAAGTAGGCACTGAAGCCACTAACAAGGCAGTTAAAGAACTTTTCAAAATCAACAATGCCCCCCACCCCCCCCCCCCCCCCCCCCCCCCCCCACCCAGCCCCTTGCCAAAGAAAGGGCTTTCAACTCAACCCTTCCGAGCAATAGCCATGATCCTGAGCAAGCCGGCCAGACAATACTTGAGGTTTACAAGGGTCCAACATTTTCTCCAACATTACTTGGATAAAAACATGGGAGACCCTCAACCCGAAACCCTAAACCCTAAACCCTAAACCCTAAACCGACACTCAAGGTTCAATATTCAGAGATGGCCTGGATGTCCGGGTGGCTGCGGTCGAACGGCAAGCCCGTGGTGGACACTGGGAGCACAAACATTGGAAGGCTTTTTGAGCTTTTGTTTCCGAGTCCTAGCCACGAAACCACATGATCCGATGCAATTAGTCTGTTGCACAGATGCTGCTTTTATGCGCACTTCTGTTTAGTCTCATTGAGAAGACTCTGATATCTGGAGCGGTTGGAGTGGTTGGCGGGTTTCTTTTGCGGGTTTAGGGGGCTGAGGGTTTTGAGGGCTTCGGGGTTGGTAGTCTACGGGTGTGGGCTTAGGGTTGAGGTTTTAGAGTTCAGGGTTTTGAGTTTAAGCTATCGGGTTTAGGGTATATAAACCCCCCTATAGGGGAGTGTTTCTCGTGTGCTTCTCGGACGACCCTTTATGTGGAGGCGCATGGGCCCGAATAAGAGCTGGGTTCTGGAGGGTCAGTGTAGTTTTCAGCGCTGCGCGTCGGGTTTCAGGGTCAGTCCAGACATACATGCAGAGATTCCATAGTTTACAGGGTCCATTCTCCCCCCGCCACCCCACCACCGACCTTCCCTACTCCTACCGGCGGGCGGAGTCCCATGGCATCGTGAGCATTTTCGGTTGTTGGAGCTTGCGACGCTATGTTTGGTGACTTGTCAGGGCGTTGGGACATCCAAGACATCCAATTCAGGGGTATAAGGCGGGACGCGTGTTAATCTTATTGCCCTATATAACCCCATATAGTCCCAAATACCCAAGTAGCCCCGAAATAGCCCCCTAAAGAATCCCTAAGGTCCCTAAAAAGGGTCCCTCCTTGAGTCCCTTGATCCAAGGCCACCTGCCAAGACTGTGGAGCCATGCAGCCCACCCAGCCGCCGCCACTCTGCGAAGATACCCTGCCCACCAGCAGCTTCTGTCACACGCTGGGGGGCGACCTCAACTGCAAGTGTTCCACGGCCATCGCGAGCCATCCCTGTGGGGAGCTGGCCTCCATCTCCGGGTTCGGGCTCTTCAACACGACCGCCGAGTGCATGCGTACTTGCGGACACTGCCCCACTGAGCGCCCTCCCCTGTTCCACCACCCCTGTGGCGGTCACGACCACGGCGGCCACGACGGGCACGACGGCCACGACGGCCCCGACGACCACGAGGGTCACAGCCACGTTACCGTGGATGCGGCCCACTGTGCGGAAGCTCGACTCGCTTTGGCATTAGCTTCGATGACTGCGGCTGCTCTCTCGTGACTTGAAGCGGTTACGGGGCGACTATTTTCACAAGGCAGAGGAGCCTGCGAGCCCCCGTGAGAGATTGTAGTTGTAGGTGAAGACTAGCAGCGCTCTTTGAGCCAGAAGGCCTTGCAGCGGCTGCAGAAGGCTTATGCAGGACGCAGCCCATACTCATTAAATGAGATTGATTCTGGGCGTCCTATGGCTGGTGCGCTCCAAAGGTTTCTTCGCCTGACAGGGGAAGCATTAGAATTGACAACATGGTAACCCTAAACCCTAAACCCTAAACCCTAAACCCTAAACCCTAAACCCTAAACCCTAAACCCTAAACCCTAAACCCACTTGCCCCATGTCAATTATTGCTCAGGATTGTAAGTTCAGTCTTTGTGGTTCAAGATGAGTGGCAGGGCATTGGAGAATGAGCGCACTTGCCAAGTTTTCGCAGCAATGCCCACACAATCACTGCTGCCCTGTCTTCCACTTGTTTTCAAGAGTACTTGGAGGTTCATGGTACCTATGAACCAAGTATGACTGGACTTAGAACTGTACTTATAACCCTTGTTGGGCACTTAAGGGGCTTATAAGTGGGTTACAAGTACAGGTATGATTGGTTAATAAGTACCATGATCCTTCAAGTAGAGGCAGCTCTTGGGAGCTGTATGGCTGGTGCAGGAGAAGATGCAGCAATCGATAGTCCTTTGTAGCAGAACAGATACAAGATGAAAGCCACCAGATGACCACATGCCGTGCCACACTAACGGAATCCCTGGGGGGATCCAAAAAGTAGATCCAAAAAGTAGATCGCCTTAAGGGTTCCTGGGAATGACCCAACAGTAGTATACGGTACTATTTGGGGATTCTACTTTTTGGATCCTCCCAGAGGTCTGGGAACTGCCACACCTGCAGCAGTCAAGTGCATGGCTTACCAGCCTCAAACTCTTTGCAGAGGGTGCTCCTCGCATGGTATGGGCGTTAAAAGACTTCGTGGGCACTGTGCGGCTAGCTGGAACCCTCAATGATTACCAGCCACCTTAGCCACCTGGCAGGTCACCTCCAACATCCCCCAGCGATAGAGGAATGTACCCCCGAAGCCCCATTAGAATTCATTTTCGACCCCCAAACCCCAAGCCCCCAAACCCCAAACCCCAAACCCCCAACCCCACACCCCACACCCCACACCCCACACCCCAAACCCCAAACCCCAAACCCCAAGCCCCAAACCCCAAACCCTAAACCCCAAACCCCAAATCTTAAACCCTAAACCCGTAGCCCTAAACCCTAAACCCTAAACCCTAAACGCCGACTTTTGAGCTTCAAAGCTTTAGGCTTGTCTGATGTCTGGGCATCCATCGAGGAATCTTTAGGTCTCAGCTGTTGGGGACCCCACAGAGCTCGAAAGGCCGGGCCTCAGGGGTTCCTTTCTTTGGGACAAAAAGGAAGGTTTAGGGTTTAGGGTTTAGGGTTTAGGGTTTAGGGTTTAGGGTTTAGGGTTTAGGGTTTAGGGTTTAGGGTTTAGGGTTTAGGTTTTAGGGTTTAGGGTTTAGGGTTTAGGATTCTTCACTCAATGAGGGCTACACTTACCCATGATCTGTTTCGCATCTTGGGGTGCGGTTGGGGAACGCATGCTTTCGGAAATACCCATGTGTGGGGGGTTTACGAACATAAGGCGACCCCTATAATTGAGATCCCCCAAGTATTCGGGCTTCCTCAGAGTAAGGACCCCAATGAGGCATCCCCCAACATCCCTAAACCCCCAACACCCTAAAGCCTAAACCCCAAAACCCCTAAACCCCTAAACCCTAAACTCAGGGCCTAGGCCCCCCTACAGAAGGGGGGCGGCGCTTAAGCCCTTCGAGCTATGGCGAAAGTCGACCTGCCCGCCTCCTGCATTCTCGGCGGGGTACCCCCAGGGCCCCAGGGCAGGAGCACCCGGACCCCCTCGCCGCAGCGTGTGCAGGGACCAGGGAGCTTCAGGCTGGTCCAGAGTGTGTTTTTTTCTGCAGTTTCTTTCCTTGGCCCCCCTACCCCTTGCCCGCCCTGGCCCTCCCTGGCCGCCCTGACCCCCCTGGCCCTGACCCGTTCTGGCCCTCTGGCCATGGATCTGCGCCTTGGACCTTCCTGCCCCTTCCTGGCCCTCCCCTGGAAAAGTGTTAGATGGCCCTCCACAATCGGGCCAATGCTGCTTTTCGCACCTCACGAAGCTTTCGAGCATGTTCCGAAACCTAACCTTCACAGCATCTACGCCCTATCACAGCAAACCCTAAACCCTAAACCCATGTGGTTGGTGTTCTGGTACGAGCGGTCCGCAGACATGGGGCTCAGTGCGCCATGTGGGCTCGGCCGCAGTTCTGCGAATAGCTGCTGCGCCGGGGCCTCGCAGAGCGCATGAACAGGAAGGGTTTAGGGTTTAGGGTTTAGGGTTAGGGCTAGGGTTTAGGGCTAGGGTTTAGGGTTTAGGGTTTAGGGTTTAGGGTTTGGGGTTTGGGGCTTAGGGGTTAGCGTTTAGGGTTTAGGGTCTTGGTGAGTGAATTTCATCCGGCTTTCGAAGTTGCGGTGAGCATTCATATTGGTTGTCCTTTTGGAGATTCTATGGACATGGCGGCCTGAAGTTTGGACATGATTTGCTACACATGCCTTCTTCCACCCTGCAACAAGCAAATGCTGAGCCCTTAGCCCCGAACCCGAAACCATACACCCTAAACCCCAAACCCTAAACTCAAAACCCTAAATCCCAAACCCCAAACCCCAAACCCTAAACCCCTGACCGTAAGCCCCACACCCCAAACCCTAAACTCAAGACCCGACACCCCAAACCCTAAACCCCAAACCCTAAACCCTAACCCGAAACCCCAACCCTAAGCACAAGACTCAAAACCCCAATCCCAAGCCCTAAACTCAAAACCCCAAACCCTAAACCCTAAACCCCAAACCCTAAACCCGAAACCCCAAACCCTAAACCCTCAACCCTAAACCCTAAACCCCAAACCCTAAACCCTAAACCCTCGACTTCCCTCCCCCTCTCTGAGGCTGGGCTGTGACCCCCTACCTTGCAGGCCTCGTCAGCCGGTGCTTGGGCTCAATCCCCCAAAACCTCACTAAGGGTTTAGGGTTTATAGGGTTATAGGGTTTAGGGTTTAGGGTTTGGGGTTCGGGGTTTAGGGTTTAGGGTTTAGGGTTTGGGGCTTAGGGTTTAGGGTTTAGGGTTTGAACTCCTATACGGGCCGTTCTAGCCGGGGTAACCCTCATAATCCTCCGTTCTAAAGCGCCTGAAGCGCCCCCCCCCCCCCTCCAGAAAAAAGACATGAATCCCCAACACCCGACTAGCATCAACAACAAACATCGCTGAGAACAAAACACCTTTCGGCTTTGGCTTGGGGTTTGGGACGGCCGTCCTAAGTAAGGGTTTTGGATGTGTTCCTTCTTGTATGATGGTATACTGTTTATGGCTTAGGGTTTAGGGTTTGGGTTTAGGGTTTAGGGTTTAGGGTTTAGGGTTTAGGGTTTAGGGTTTCGAGTTTAGGGATACCAGGGGTGTAGGCCGAGCATGCAGGACCCGTGACTCATGGAAAGGAAGCCCAAACAGCTCCCCGAGCCTCCTCATGCCAAGGCCGATGGGTTTGGGGTTTAGGGTTTAGGGTTTAGGGTCTAGGGTCTAGGGTTTAGGGTTTAGGGCTCAAGCATGACCAGCGGAAAGTTTTTGCTAAGGAATGGATCCCCGGCTGCTTCTTGGCGTGGTCTGGGTACATTGTTGGGAGTAGTGTTCAGAGTTCCGATGGGCTAGGGTTTAGGGTTTAGGGCTTAGGGTTCAGGGTTTAGGGTTTAGGCTTAGGGTTCAGGGTTTAGGGTTTGGGGCTTAGGGTTTAGGGCTTAGGTCTTAGTGCTGTCGGCTTGGGACTTAGGGGTTTAGGGGTTTAGGGGTTTAGGGGTTTAGAGGTTTAGGGGTTTAGGGTTTGGGGGTTTAGGGGTTTAGGGGTTTAGGGGTTTAGGGGTTGAGGGGTTGAGGGGTTGAGGGGTTGAGGGGTTGAGGGGTTGAGGGGTTGAGGGTTTAGGGTTTAGGGTTTAGGTTTAGGGTTTAGAGTCTCGGGTTTAGGGTTTAGGGTTTAGGGGTTGATGGGTTAAGGGGTTGAAGGGTTGAGGAGGGGGGTTGAGGGGTTGAGGGGGTTGAGGGGTTGAGGGGATCGAGGGGTTGAGGGGTTGAGGGGGTTGAGGGGTTGAAGGGTTGAGGGGGTTGAGGGGGTTGAGGGGTTGAGGGGTTGAGGGGTTGAGGGGTTGAGGGGTTGAGGGGTTGAGGGGTTTAGGGGTCTACGGGTTTAGGGGTTTAGGGGTTTAGGGGTTTAGGGGTTTAGGGGTTTAGGGGTCTAGGGGTTCAGGGGTTTAGGGGTTTAGCGGTTTAGGGGTTTAGGGGTTTAGGGGTTTAGGGGTTTAGGGAGGGGTTAGGGGTTTAGGGGCTTAGGGGGCAACATGGGCTGTCGGGTGCCCCAAGCCCTACACCCTGCAGCCTTTGAATCAACCCTGGAAGGTTCTGTTTGGTCGGACACATGCAAGGGATGAGCACATGCCGTGCTGTGCTGGCATGTGGGATCGACTGCTTGGAGACCTTCTTTTGGCTATTGTTACTAGTATTCTGGCTACTCTGCTTGTCCCTCAGTACCATGGATATTTCGGTGTGACTGGCATGATGCAGGTGTTGGTTTGTGATCAGTATCCGAGGTGTTAGGATCGTTAGTATAACCCTAAACCCTAAACCCTAAACCCTAAACCCTAAACCCTAAACCCTAAACCCTAAACCCTAAACCCTAAACCCTCAAGAAAGGAGCTCCCAAGATTTTACAGGGGCAACTTCGTCCTGAAAAGGCCCTCCCTGCACCTCGGGCTCTTTTGTGGAGCGCCCAAAAGCCTGCACCCTCGAAATCCGATGAACCCTAAACCCAAAACCCCAAACCCCAAACCCTAAACCCTACACCCTAAACCCTAAACCCTAAACCCTAAACCCTAAACCCCAAACCCGCACAGCCGAGGTTTACATGTAGCATGCTCTGGCTCCTTCTCGCCGCTTGTCTGCGATGGTGTTCAGGAGGAGGGGTAGAGCCAGAGGCATCCTAAGCCCTATAGACCCTAGACCCTAATCCCTAACACCCTAACACCCTACACCCTAACACCCAACACCCAAAACCCTAAACCCTAACCCCAAACCCTACTAAGCCCCAATCCCTAATCCCAAAACCCTAAGCCCTAAGCCCTAAGCCCCTCGGGAGATGTCAAGGAAGTCCAATTTTGCCTAGATGCTTCGGGCTGTCGTAGAGAGCCTTGAAATGGATCCTAGGGTTTGGGGCTTGTGGGTTTATGGGCGTATGGCTTTATGGCTTTATGGGTTTATGGGTTTAGGGGTTTATGGGTTTTGGGTTTACGGTTTAAGGTTTAGGGCCAGAGGCTTGAGGGTTGGTTCGCGTCATATCAATTTCGGCCGAAGGGCTGTCTGTGTTGCTTCAGGTACGCCCCCCCCCCCCCCCCCCCCCAAACCCTAAACCTAAACCCCAAACCCCAAACCCCAAACCCCAAACCCCAAACCCCAAACCCTAAACCCCAAACCCCAACCCCAAACCCCAAACCCCAAACCCTAAACCGCTATTCTTGGGTGCGCTGCCTCCTTGCGATGTTGGCTTATATGTGGGCATTTTCGAAAGGCCCGTTTAAGGGATGGACCTTGCAAGAAAGGGTTTAGCGCTTAGGGTTTAGGGTTCAGGGCGAGTCCTTTTGCTAAAACAGGAAGTCTATGTTACGGCTATTTTGTGGACAGGTACTTTCCCTAAACCCTAAACCCTAAACCCTAAACCCTAAACCCTAAACCCTAAACCCTAAACCCTAAACCCTAAACCCGAAACCCTAAACCCGAAACCCTAAACCCTATCATGATATCTAGCTGTTTTTTTTGGCAAACGTGGATCTGGGAAGGGGAGGTGCGTGCCTGAAATTGGTCGGTGCGCGCTCACAAAAGAGTCTGAGGCATCAATACTCCCAAACTATGAACCCTGAACCCTGAACCCTGAACCCTAAACCCTAAACCCTAAACACTTAGCCGGCGGAACAAATTAGAATAAAGCAGGGGTTAGTGCAGTCCAGGATCTAGGCGAAACCCGCCTGGGCCCTACGTACGTCTCAACGGTCAGTGAAGGGACTTTCACTGAGCCCTAAGCCCTAAGCCCCAAGCCCTAAGCCCTAAGCCCTGAGCCCTAAGCCCTAAGCCCTAAACCCTAAACCCTAAACCCTGAACTCAATCAGAAACCCCTGGAGCTGCAGGCTTCTCCCATCCCGATTGCATCGCTGGCGGTGCCGCTGCAATCCAAAGACGCGTCGGGAGGCCCAGGCTGCCGAAACCCTAAACCCCAAACCCTAAACCCTACACCCTAAACCCTAAACCCCAAACCCTAAACCCTAAACCCCAAACCCCAAACCCTAAACCCCAAGAACTAAACCCTAAACCCTAAACCCCAAACCCCAAACCCTGAACCCTAAACCCCAAACCCCAAACCCCAAACCCCAAACCCCAAGCCCTAAACCCTAAACCCGAAGCACTAAACCCTAAGCCCTAAGATGGGCACATTTTCTGAGCTTGCCCCATGTCTCACCCTAAGCCCAGACGTGGGTTTTTGATGCAGCGGCTTGCTCACAAGTAGCTACTTGGAGGTCCATGGGTACTTACACGTAGGGTTATAGGTACCCTGAACCCTGATCGTTGCAGCCATACTTACCCCACCCTGAACCCTAAACCCTGATCCGCACGGGTTTAGGGTTTAGGGTTTAGGAATGGTTTACGAGGAGCCACCACGATGCCCAAGTGGCAGCCTTGACCTTGCATGCAGAGCTTCAAAGGCAAACCCTAAACCCTAAACCCTAAACCCTAAACCCTAAACCCTAAACCCTAAACCCTAAACCCTAAACCCTAAACCCTAAACCCTGCGCAACAATCGCACGTTCGAAGCTATGACCCTGATGGAAGATCGCCACCCAGGGTGCACCACGTGCACTTCAGGTGCGTGGGCGGAAATCGGTTTAGGGTTTAGGGTTTAGGGAAGCATGGAGGTTTAGGGTTTAGGGTTTAGGGTTTCGGGTTTAGGGTTTAGGGCTTAGGGTTTAGTGTTTAGGGTTTAGGGTTTAGGGTATACTTTCGTGCAGAGACCGTGCCCTCATCTTCAATGACGCGCCGGGCGCTGAGTTCGAAGATCTCGCCTTAACCCCTCAACTCCTAAACCCCTAAACCCCTAAACCCCAAGCCCTAAGCCATAAACCCCGTAGTTAACCCCGAAACCCTGAACCCCAAGCCCTAAACCCTAAACCCCAAGCCCTAAACCCTAAACCCCAAACCTTAAACCCCAAACCCCAAACTTTCCCTAAACCCTAAACCCCCATAAGCCCTTAAACCCAAAGCAAAGGCCGAGTCAGTCTCTGCTCACGGACACCGCGGGGGCACCCAAACCAGGGATTCCAGGCTTTAGGGTTTAGGGTTTAGGGTTTAGGGTTTTAGAGTTTTAGGGTTTAGGGTGTTAGGATTTCAGCGTTTTAGGGTTTTAGGGGTTTAGGGTGAGGGTTTTAGGGTTTTAGGGTCTTAGGGTTTTAGGGTTTTAGGGTTTTAGGGTTTTAGGGTTTTAGGGTTTTAGGGTTTTAGGGTTTTAGGGGTTTAGGGTTTGAGGGTTTTAGGGTTTTAGGGTTTTAGGGTTTTAGGATTTTAGGATTTTAGGGTTTTAGGGTTTTAGGGTCTTAGGGTCTTAGGGTCTTAGGGTTTTAGGGTTTTAGGGTCTTAGGGTTTTAGGGTTTCAGGGTTTTGGGGTTTTAGGGTCTTAGGGTTTTAGGGTCTTAGGGTCTTGGGGTCTTAGGGTCCTAGGTTCTTAGGGTTTAGGGCAATATGGCGCCAAAGCTGTGAAAGTTAGGAAAAGCTTCGTGAAATGCCACCAGCCGCCATGGCCCGATTGTGGACATACCTTTTAGGGCTTTGGCCTGACCTCCATTGTTTTCAGGGTCTTTCCTGCAAAGTTCATGCGAGGCCCTAGAACCCTAGCCCCTAAACCCTAACCCCTAACCCCTAAACCCTAAACCCTAAAGGTTGTCAGGGATTTGGGCACCCCCCGAAGCCTTGAGTTTAGGGTTTAGGTTTTGGGGTTTAGCGTTTAGGGTTTAGAGTTGAGGGTCAAGGGTTTGGCATTCTGTTAGGGCTTCGGCGACAGGTCGTGGTCTAGGGTCACAGGAGCAAACCTTTCCGCTACACTGCCTACTTGGTGGCTGTGTGAGCACACGTTACACTTATTGGGATAGTATAATCACCCACAGAACTGAAAGTGTACACTTTTGGGAGGCCTATGACCTCAGCAACTAAGCCTAAAAGCTCAATGAGCCAAAAGTCTACTGACTGACGCTTATAAGGGGGAGTGAGGTGGGGAGCGTAAGGCTTTAAGGGTTTCTTCTGTAGGGTCCGGTAGGTTTTCTATTGGTTGAACACCAGTAAGGCTAACAATCGAGATATCCTCCCGTCACCCAAGCTCAGAGCATCTTACTTTGAGAACCCACAACTGTGTCCGGCCCATCTGTTCACGCGGTTGATAGTTTGATTCTTGCTCTTTCTGATTATCTTTTCATGCGCCTACATACCGTATGAGCTGGAGCAGCGTCTTCCTTCTGGCTAGTTTGAGCCTCCGTAGATAGGGCTTGATGTCAAGCCTACAAGCTTGTTTGGGTGAGTGAAGCACATGTTCTTACAGCACGAGGGAACCAACCCCGACCTCCTTTTGCACAGGGTTTAGGGTTTAGGGTTTATAAGGTTTAGGGTTTAGGGTTTAGGGTTTAGGGTCTAGGGTTTAGGGTTTAGGGTTTAGGGTTTAGGGAACCCCCTCCCACCCTTGATGCCTTTGGTACTTGGCATGGCTGAGCAGTGGAGTGCGGCGCGTCCCTGAGGCCAAGCGGGCTGTTCGTGTGGAGGACGGCGTGCAGTGCCCGCTGTGCTAGAGGGCCAGATTATCCCTAACCCTAAACCCTAAACCCTAGACCCTAAACCCTAAACCCTAAACCCTAAACCCTAAACCCTAAACCCTAAACCCTAAACCCTAAACCCTAAATGAGCTGTGCTGGCTTTGCCATACTGCGAGCTTCAAGCAAGTGTTAGGGTGGCCCTCGTGACGACCTCGTGCGGAATACGTATTTGTCCCTGAAACTGAACCACCCTAGACCCTAAACCCCAAACCCCAAACCCTCAACCCTCAGCCCTCAACCCTCAACCCTCAACCCTCAACCCTCAACCCTCAGCCCTCAACCCTCAACCCTCAACCCCAAGCCCTCAACCCTAAACCCTCAACCCTCAACCCCAAGCCAGGGATATTTCTCGGAGAGTCTATGTGTGGGCCACCTCCCAGTTCCCAGGAGGCGGATCCTCTGCCCTTGCAGCAGAAGCCCCGGGGCGATCCGCGCGAGTATCAGACGGGGCCTTAGGGTTTAGGGTTTAGGGTTTAGGGTTTAGGGTTTAGGGTTGAGGGCCGTCTTAAGGGTTTAGGGTTTAACCCCACCACTACTGGTGCGACGCATGGACTGCGAGGTTGAGGGCTTTTAGGGTTTAATGCGGGCTTGGGCAGCTTTAGGGCCTAGGGTTTAGGGTTTCGGGTTTAGGGTTTAGGGTTTAGGGTTTAGGGTTTAGGGCAGCCAAAGGCCAGCAAGGGACTCTCATCTTGGCGAAGGAGAAGGCTCCGGAGGTGTGGCACGCAAGCAAGTAAACAACCTAGAAACCCTGAACCCTGAACCCTGAACCCTGAACCCTAAACCCTAAACCCTAAACACAGCCTAACGTCGTCAAGAACCTGGTGGAGCAGCGAGATTGCTGAGACAAGTCCAGTTTCTGAGAATCTGAGGCCGATGCGGAGGAGGGTTTAGGGTTTAGGCTTTGGGGGTTTAGGGTTTAGGGTTTAGGGTTTAGGGTTGAGGGACTCCGGGGAGGATCCAGAAGGAAGCGCCTGCAAACTTGAAGCCGGCTTTACTTTGATACAAGCCCTTGCGGGCACTTTTACTCTCTTGATCCTGCCAAGAGTCTGGGAAGCCCTCGACGTGTAGCAGGGATTGTTTCGGGTGTTCCTTGGGCTTCTGGCTTCTTAGAGCTAAGTCTGCAAACCCCCTGGTTACTTATATGTAGGGTTGTAAGTAGGGTAACTCTGGTTACAACCTTATTTTGGGGCGCTTGTAATCCTAAACCCCTAAAAAAGAAACCGTAATCCTCCAAGTAGGTGCCGCGGCCAAAGCTTCGCCAAGGTACGCCGTGCTAAGCAATGGCCTGCAAGTAGTCAACATCTTCGATCCCAATTCGACGCAGGCTCCCGGATCGGGGCTGAAGAGGTTCCAAAGAGCCCAATACCCCTTAATTAAGCAATATACCTTAAATCATATTAAGGATCCTTATATAAATTAAGCGATATTCCCTAATTAAGGGATATTGGGCTCTTTGGGTTTTTGCCTACAATCCTTATGACCTTAGTAGCACACTTTACACTTTTTGGGATACCACAATCCCTAGAGAACTGAAAGTGTACACTTTTTTTGGGGGCTTATGAACTCAGCACCTAAGGGACAAGCAGAACAATGATATCGACAACATTCAATGTCCTCACTAAGAATGATGACACGTGGCAACACCAGCCATTGTTTCGTATCCGAATAAACCTCAAGCTCTAAGGACGATGTTGTGATTGAGATCCGCAGATTATAGATCGAGTCCTGCACTTTAAGCCGTAAACCCTAAACCGTATGTACCTATCGCCATTAGGGCCGTTAGGGCCGTTAGGGCCTTTAGGGTTTAGAACAAGATCTTTGGAGATTGCTTTGGTGTGGGGATTTGGTGTTTAGGCATTGGGGAATCAGGAGCGAAAAAGGCATGCACTTGAATGCTAGCATGCGCGTTATTTGCCTGTCCGCCAGTACTACATGCTCCGGCTCTCCGACCACATCGCCCACAAGACCCCATGGCATTTACTGTAGAGTGTTGGGTTTAGGGTTTGGGGTTTAGGGTTTAGGGTTTGAGGTTTAGGGTTTAGAATTTAGGAATTCGCAACAAGGTTCCGTATGGTCCTATGCCACCCTGTCTTGCATACGCGGCCTGACTGGACTGAACGCGACATGTGAGGCCGTGGAACATGAGACCCCTTTATTCTCCCTTTCAACCCTAAGCCCTTAACCTGAAGCCCTCAACCCTAAACCCTAAACCCTAAACCCTAAGCCCTAAACCCTAAGCTCTAAACCCTAAACCCTAAACCCGAAACCCTAAACCCTAAACCCTAAACTACCCAAACCCTCAAACCCTCCACACGTTTTTCTCCCCTAAGCCGCTGTAGGCAGCCATCTCCGTGGCCGCCTCCGTCGGCTCCTTGGCGGACCCCGAGGCCTGGACTCTGCTTGTTTTTTTCTACAGGGTTTAGGGTTTAGGGTTTAGGGTTTAGGGTTTAGGGTTTAGGGTTTAGGGTTTAGGGTTTGGGGTTTGGGGTTTTAGGGTTTTAGGGTTTAGGGTTCAAGGCTTGGGCTCAGGGTAGGGGGGGGGGGGGGGGCTTTGGGATTGGGGTTGTGAAGGGTTTGTTGTGTAAAGGGTTTGGGGTTTAGGGCTAGGGTTTTAGGGTTTCAGGGTTTTGGGGTTTAGGGTTTAGGGTTTGGGTTTTCGGGGGTTGCAGGGTCGTAGGGGGATAGTGCCTGGGGTTCTATGCATCCTCGCTGCACGGTCGTCCCTAGCCGCATGGTCGAAGGATTCCGGAGTCAAAAGCCCCAACAGAACCCTAAACCCCCAAACCCTAAACCTAAACCCTAGACCCCAAACCCTAAACTCTAAACCCCCAAACCCTTAAACCCCCAAACCCTTAAACCCCGAAACCCCAAACCCCCAAACCCCAAACCCTAAACCCTAAACTCTAAAACCCTAAACCCTTAAACCCCCCAAACCCTTAAACCCCTAAACCCTAAACCCTGACCGCAGGGCTTTGATGGCTTGGCCCACCTCACAGAGCATGCCGCTGCCTGATTTTGGGCTTTAAGGGCTTTAGGGGCTTTAGGGGCTTTAGGGCTTTAGGGCCTGAGGGCTTTGAGGGCTTTGAGGGCTTTAGGGGCTTTAGGGGCTTTAGGGGCTTTAGGGCTTTAGGGCCTGAGGGCTTTGAGGGCTTTGAGGGCTTTAGGGGCTTTAGGGGCTTTAGGGCTTTAGGGCTTTAGGGCTTTAGGGCTTTAGGGCCTGAGGGCTTTGAGGGCTTTAAGGGCTTTAGGGGCTTTAGGGCTTTCGGGCTTTAGGGCTTTAGGGCTTTCGGGCTTTAGGGCTTTAGGGGCTCTAGGGCTTGAGGGCTTTAGGGCTTGAAGGGCCTTAGGGCTTTAAGGGCCTTAGGGCTTTAAGGGCTTCAGGGGCTCTAGGGCTTTGGGGCTTTAGGGCTTTAGGGCTTTAGGGCTCTAGGGCTTGAGGGCTTTAGGGCTTGAAGGGCCTTAGGGCTTTAAGGGCTTTAGGGCTTTAAGGGCTTCAGGGGCTCTAGGGCTTTGGGGCTTTAGGGCTTTAGGGCTTTAGGGCTCTAGGGCTTGAGGGCTTTAGGGCTTGAAGGGCCTTAGGGCTTTAAGTTCTTTAGGGCTTTAGGGTAAAGGTTTTACGTTTAGGGTTTAGATTTCGGGCCTAGGGTTTAGGGCTAAGGGCTTAGGTTTTTACGTTTAGGGCTTAGGGTTTAGGGCTTCGGGCTCAGGGCTTAGTACGGGTTTAGGGCTCAAGGGTTTATCGGTCTTCAAGCACTTCCGGATGCTTTCGAGGCTAGAGCGCTGCACAGCCGCAGAAATGGAGGGCTCCAGTTTGCCGGACTGCGTGGCCCTAAACCCTAAACCCTAAGCCCTAAACCCTAAACCCTAAACCCTAAACCAAGAACGCTGTCTACGCCCACGCCAAGTTTTCCTGGGAGGGTCCTTAGGGCGTTTCGGTTCGGAGCTTGAAGCCTGCAGGCAAGAGTTTCTGACCAAGCTGCGTGACTGGAACATGAAAACCACACAACACCCGACACTTCGGGTTTAGGGTTTAGGCTTTGGGGTTTGGGGTTTAGGGTTTAGGGTTTAGGGTTTAAGGGAACACCGCCCCCTTGGCGTGCCAAAGCCTAAGCCAATAGGCCAAACAGCCTCCGAGAAAGTGTTTGAAATCCAAACCTTGCTCCCAAACCCCAAACCCCAAACCCCAAACCCCTAACTCCCAAACCCCAAACCCCAAACCCCAAACCCCAAACCCCAAACCCCAAACCCCAAACCCTAAACCCTAAACCCTATATTCCTAAACCCTAAACCCTAAACCCTATATTCCTAAACCCTGAACCCTGAACCCTGAACCCTAAACCCTAAACCCTAAACCCTAAACCCTAAACCCCCAAGCTGAGGCCATGTTCTTGGGTTCCGAGAAGTTCCCAGAGCAGCAGCCTGGCCCTCCCTTGGGGGTTTTGGGTTTAGGGCTTGGGGTTTAGGGTTTAGGGTTTAGGGCTTAGGGTTAGGGTTTAGGGTTTAGGGGTTAGGGTTTAGGGTCTAGGGTCTAGGGTTTAGGGTTTAGGGTTTAGGGTTTGGGGTTTAGGGTTTAGGGTTTAGGGCTTAGGGTTTAGGGTTTAGGGTTTAGGGGTTAGGGTTTAGGGTCTAGGGTCTAGGGTTTAGGGTTTAGGGTTTAGGGTTTAGGGTTTAGGGTTTAGGGGTGGTTAAGGTTTCGGGTTTAGGGGCGTTTGGGGGGTGCACCCAGTGAACTCTACATCCTAAAGCCTGGATAGGGGTGTTAAGGTTTTAGCTCGCAGTGGTTCAGGGTTTAGGTTTGGGGTTTTTGTCTTTGCTTCCGGTACTGGGTCTTCTTGTTCTTTGGTCCTAATCTAATAATAATGCGGCTCTGTGTTAGAAGAGGTACGGAAAAACGCTTAAGAAACCCCCAAGCTACTGTTTGCTTAAGTACAAAGATTAAACATGTTCCTTATACTGGTAGTATATGGATGATTATCTGGACTATTATCTTGTGTTTGTTGGGGGTTCTTAAGCATGTAGTAGTAAAACCCCATAGCCCTCAACCCTAAGCCCTAAAGCCTAAGCCCTAAACCCTAAACCCTGCAAATAGTAGAACAATAAGTTCCTCCATCCATAATTCGCCATGTGGTTGCAAGGGGCTGGGGGGGGGGGGGTGGGGGGGGGGGGGGTGGGTGGTGGGGGGAGGGGGGGGGGGGTGGGGGGGGTGGTTGGGGGGAGGGGGGGGGGGGGGGGTGTTTCATGGCGTCCACCTGTTGCTTTGACCCAAACCCAGAACCCCAACACCTAACCTGAAACCCTAAACCCTAAACCCTAAACCCTAAACCCTAAACCCTAAACCCTAAACCCTAAACCGTAAACCCTAAACCCTAAACCCTAAACCCTAAACCCTAAACCCTAAACCCTAAACCCTAAACCCTAAATAAACCCTAAACCCTACACCCTACACCCTACACCCTACACCCTAAACCCTAAACCCTAAACCCTAAACCCTAAACCCTAAACCCTAAACCCTAAACCCTAAACCCTAAACCCTAAACCCTAAACCCTAAACCACCACTTGTTGGAACAGCGGAGGTCAGGATTCGATGCCTGGCTCGCCGAGCGCGGGGGCTTCTCGAATGCCTACACTGCCGAGGAGACCTTCGGAACTGTTTTTTTTTTTTTTTTTTTCGTTCTTGGGTTTAGGGTTTAGGGTTTAGGTTTTAGGGATGGAGTTGACAGGTTTTGAAGAGGCTTATAGGGTCCAAAGAGTTCATAGGGTCTGCTTTAAGGGGGATTGGGGTTTTTGGAAAGAGTATTTAAGGGTTTTACAGTTTGTAAGGGTGTAGGGCTTAGGGTGTAGGGCTCTTGGGGTTCAGAAGTCACAGGGTTCTTGGGGTTTCACTATACGTTATTGTAAGAGATCAGGGGCTTTAAAGCATTTATGTTGAAGTTTGCTCATGTTTTGGGTCTCATGTGTTTTCAGGGTTTAGGATTTAGAGGGTTTAGTTCTTGCACTGTTTACATAGTTTTCGGGGTTCGAAGTTTATGGGCTTATGAGGGCTTACAGTTTGGCGTTTACAGAGCTGGTCGAATTTGGGGTTCAAGGTTTTAGGGGTAATGAAGCTTAACGTTTGGGCCATTTGCGGGTCCTACAAGAGGCTTAGGGTTTAGGGTTTAGGGCCCTGCTATCTGCACTTACATGTGCCCCGCGGGCTTCACGTAGCCGGGGGCTCAACCTCGCTGAGCCCAGGGTTTCGGGCGCTCAGGCTCCCAAAACAACTCTACTGCAAAAGCCATCCCGGAATAGAGTCACTGATCTCCACGGAACCCAGTCTTCTTGCGTGATTGCTTGGCGAAGGGTCCGAAAGCCGCCACCCTAAACTAAACCCAAATCCCCTACACCCTGAAACCTAAACCCTAAACCTGTCCGTTGTAGGTAAAACGCCTAAGCCCTCAACCCTTTCACCCGGAAGCCGTAACTAAGGTCTACTTCCGAAATAGGTGGCTGTACTTGGAGGTTCATGGTACTTATTCACCAATTATAACTGTACTTCTAACCCACTTATAAGCCCCTTAAGTGCCCCAATATGGCTATAAGTACAGTTATACTTGGTTCATGAGTACCACCGTACTTACAGCACTTATAAGCCCCTTAAGTGCCCTAATATGGTTATAAGTACTGTTATACTTGGTTCACAAGTACCATGAACCTCCAAGTGGGCCACTCCAGAGCACACATTTGGGAGAACCGAGCGCCCCTCGCGAGGAGCAGACAGTCTACTATGTCTCCTTGAACGAGAAGGTAGGTTTAGGGTTTAGGGTTTAGGGTTTAGGGTTTGGGGTTTGGGGTTTAGGGTTTAGGGTTTAGGGTTTAGGAAATAAGGGTTTAGGGTTGAGGGTTCAGGGTTTACGGTGGACCCCCAATACAGACCCCCAGATTAGTAGGATTCCCTGGTAAAAAAGGATCCAAAAAGGTAGAAGCCCCCAAAGAGTTTCAACGGAAACTGGCCCAAACCGTAAACCCTACAAACCGTCATTGAACGAACCCTAGAAACCCCCTGCAAACCCTACAAACCCTATAAACTCCACAACCCGTGCAAACCTCACAAGCCCCATAGTGAAGAAGCTCAATTCAGAAATCCCACAAATCCCACACGCTCCATAGAACGCTCACAAAAAGCGCATCAGAAGCCTCTCAACCCCCCCTTCCCGGGATCCAAGGCTTCCCTCCAGGCCCTGAACCCCCTACTTGGAGAGATTTAGGGGGTTCAGGGGCTTTAGGGGCTTTGGGGGGTTTGGGGGGTATAGGGGGTTTGGGGTGTTTAGGGTTTAGGGTTTACAGTCTTGGGCTTGTGCTTGGAGGTTCATTTGGGTCCTTACAAGTCGGGTTATAATGTAGGGTAACCAGAGGCAACTCATACAAGTACCCATGAGCCTCCAAGTAGGGTTGTGTTCTACGGTTCTGGGTGGGTGGGGGTCTCGCTCGCGCGCGAGGCTTTCGAAGACTGCCTCGAGCGCTACGCTGATGTTTTTCACGCGCCGCTGTTCAAGCCATCTTGGGTCTGGAACGAGGTGCCCAATTGGGTTTAGGGCTTCCGGTTGAAGCTGAGGGGTTGCTACTTTTCCCTCTAATCCCCGTAAAAGGCCCTTTATTGGGGTTCATGATGGGGATTTAAAGGCCTGATAGGCCATCCTGGTATGGGATAACCTAGAGCCGTCATGCCTGCTCCCTCCCGAGGACACTCCCTAACAGCAACTGGCGGGGCGTAGCAGAAGAAGTACCCTAAACCCTGAACCCTGAACCCTAAACCCCCCCCCCTTTGCCAAAGGCCAGAGAAGCTAGGGTGGTCGTGTTGGGGTTAGGGTTTATGGGGTGGGATGGGTCATCTACAGGGTTTTGGGGTACGCGGAGAATTAGTGGAGTACCGCTGAATTCAGGAATTTACCTCAAGCTATCCTGGGGCCTAGACCCTAAGCCCTAAAATTACTAAACCCTAGGCCCCAAACCCTTAACCCTACATAGAAGGTGTCTTGAGGTCTAGGTACAGGATCCCATGTCTTTGGAGATCCTATTGAGGGTTTTAAGGGTTTTGAATTTAGGGCTTCTCCTCTAATACGAGTAACACAGACACCCTTTCAAGGTCTAGTCCACCAGCAACATAGAATCCGAGAATCCCAAGCCCTAAGCCCCAAAGTCTATCCTGAGTCGCGAGTTTCTGCAGAGGTCTCGGCGGTGAACAGTGAGCACCAGAAGAACCGGAACAGTCAGGACCGCCATACCCTAAACCCTAAACCGCCACACTTACCCAAAACCCTCAACCTTAGACCCTAAACCCATATACAGTGATACACAGACAGCCCGACAACTCTCAAGGAACATAGACCCCAATCCCAAACACCGCTGATGGAAGAGCTTGCCGATGGTGCTGTTCATACCAAAAGCCTTTTCAACCCTAAACCCCAAACCCTAAACCCCAAACAACAAGGCTTAAACCCTCAAACCTCGAACTCTTCAACCCTAAACCCTAAACCCTAAACCCTAAACCCTAAACCCTAAACCCTAAACCCTAAACCCTAAACCCTAAACCCTAAACCTTCAACCCCAAACTTAGGCCCGAAATCCGCGCGGCGCGAGGAGTGGCGGATCTTCAGCCTCATCAACCACCACGCCGACGAGCCTCGCGCAGCAAAGAAGTGCCCCAAAGAGAGAAGTGGGGGTTTGGGTTTTGGGGTTTGGGGTTTAGGGTTTAGGGTTTAGGGTTTTAGGGTTTTAGGCATTTAAGGTTTAGGGTTCTAGGGTTTAGGGGGTTTGGGGTTTAGGATGTTAGGGTTGAGGGACTAGGGTGTTTTCGGGAGACATGTAGATGCACAGGTGTGGTATGGCGTGTAGGGCCTAGGGGTGTGATGTATGGTTTAGGGTTAGAGTTTAGGGATAGGGTTTAGGGCTTAGGGCTTGGGTTTTGGGTTTAGGGTTTAAGGTTTAGGGCTTAGGGTTTAGAGTTTAGGGCTTAGGGGTTAGGGTTTAGGGTTTAGGGTCTAGTTATGGTTTGGGTTCAGGGTTGTTTCCCAGCATCGGGGTGCCTACTTTGCGGTTCTTTTTACGGGATACTATTTTGTACCCACACCCAAACCCCAAAACCCCAAACCCAAAACCCTACACACTACACCCCCAACGCCCTACACCCAAACCCAACTCCCCAGACCACGCTTGCCCATGCACGTAAATGTAAACCTCAAACTTTTTTTTGGGCAAAGGCACGCCCCCTTGTTGGCCACAGGCACGCCTGCTTACTGGGCAAAGAGGTACCAGCAACGATCAGGAATGAGTGATGAGCTGAGCACGGCACAAGGTGTTGTCACCATCGGCAGGGCGTTTGCTAGTTCCGTGGCTACAGAGTACACTTAAACCCTAAACCCTAAACCCTAAACCCTAAACCCTAGACCCTAAACCCTAAACCCTGAACCCTGAACCCTGAACCCTGAAACCCTAAACCCTAAACCATCTATGCCTGTGAGGAGGAGGCCTACAC